ACACACACACACACACACACACACACACACACACACACTGTTCACTCTATCGTCCCATTCGCTTTATTTTTAGATCATCCAGAGACAGGAGAGTGGAAAATTGCTAAATAGCTAGACTTTTTCTCTTGTCCTGTCTCTCCAGACTATTTCATTCTCTCCTTTTCCCCCCTGTAGTATTTCCTTCATCTGGCCACCATTCTCCGTCCGTCCTCCCTCTATTTCTGCCTCACTCCCCCATTTCCATTGCTGCTGTTTTCTTCGGCCCATGAAATATTTCAATTTCTGCCTGATCAGCTGCAAAATTGAGTGGATATGCACACACACAGACACACATAGATGTGAATAATAACTATTTGTCATTATAGGTGGTTGAAAGGGCAGAGGGAAAACTGACACAGTCACGCTCACTGTCCATTACCTCTGAACCAATCCATAGATGAGTCTATTTTGGACACATAATGACTCAACCTCTATGTTTTACTGGAGATCGAGCTGCAAGAGTCTACTTAGTGTGTTTGTCTGAAACCCTTTTTGTTGGACCCCTTCCATCACCTTTGGTCTTATACTAAACGTTAACATGGCTCTTGTTTGTACCTCCTTTCCTGTTGTTCTTGCAACACACTCCTCCTTCCTTTTGTCTGATTCTCTTCCTTTGTTTTCCAAAAATACAATATTTCAAAACGCAGCTATTTTTGCCAGTTTGGAAATGTAATCAGGGTGATGAGGTCGCAGTGGGAGGCTTTAAAGAGTGTGTCATGATGCTTTCAGGAGAGCTGATTAATGGAAAATTACAGAGTAGCCCTTCCAGATTTAGAAGCACAGACATCTCATTAGAAGATGACAGCTTGTTTCTTCTGTTAGGCTAATTGACCATGGGTGTGCGAACCCGACTGTTTGATTACCTGCTCCAGTGAATATATGCTGTGTATGATGTAACCATCCTTTTTGCTATTACAAGGTGAGCGATAAGGACACTTGTGGCTTGACTGAAGTGAGTTGGGGGAGCAAAAATTAGGATTGGATGGTGTTCAGAAACATATTTTAGAGTACTGTTTATCTGTAATAGGAGAAAATGTGTAACCAGGCCATTATTTTGATTCCTTTTTTCTTGAAAACAGACAAGCCAAAACCAAGCACCGCCCAACTGGCACTACGTCAGTCACACACCAGCCATAGCATTTACTGGTCCATTGCTGCCCAGTGCACTGTGGTTGTTGTAGGATTTATACATTGCAAGGAAAGGGGTATACCACAGTGCTTTTTCATGTCGTACCAATTTCAGAACTATTTGCGTCTTTCTACTGCATTGACAGCCCAGTTTTATGAAAAGGCCATCTTTACAACTGTGAAATTCCTCTTTTAAGGCACAATGCATGCATCAGATTAAACATTACATGACAGCTTCACTGTATGTGCAGAGGCTAACCAGTACACCTAAAATGGAATAACACTACCTGGGTTTTCCTTTTGCCAGGATGTGATCATTTAATTAAACTGATCATATCGCCAGACAAGAGCACTGATATTGGGAATCCGGGAAAAATCGGGGTGGCAAATATTAAGGTATGGTTACAGTTAGCCAGCTAAAACACTTGGTTAAGATTAGGGAAAGAAGAAGTTAAATTTAATTAAAATTAAAAAAGTTAACTGCAGGTCTGTGACAGGACTGGCACTCTGGTCTTTGATGTAAAAGTCACGCTAAACAACCCTATACCACGCCAACCTCCGCACCTTTACTTTCAGACAGGGCACACTACTTCGTATTTTTGCATTTAACGTTGGCACTAGATGTAAATTGTGAGGTGCCGAAAATACGTATGCACTTCTTGGGAACAGTGAGCTGCATCAAACACAACTTAAATTAGGTACATGAGCACAATATAAATGAAAATAATTAAGGAACTAGATCCTGACACAGGGCCACTCTATGAGACGGGGCCTAACAATGACTCCTAGAAATTACGTTTATATACTGATAGAAAGGTGATGCTACCTATATTACATATTTCTATATATGTTCATACAGAATACAGTATTTACAAAACATTCACTGAAAAACAGAATTCAGCTCTCTGCTTTGTACGCCCTGTGACATTTGTGTGATACAGGATCATATAGTACCGCCTTCACTCAAAAGAACATTGCCACTGAACATAATCCATGCAGCAGCTATGTTTACCTCAACAACACCATATTTGGCAAAACGAATTAGAAGTAAAGAAATGTAATATATATAATGATGCTGGACTTGCCTTAGTTAGAAATTCCCAAACAAATCTACAATAAATCAGATTTCCAGAGCTAATTGACTTGCAGTAAAACTTGGAATATGGGGCTCTTGTGCAGTTGCCTGCTTTGCTGGTTGGTCATCTGGCCTTGCTCGTAGCCATCATAGCCATTATTTATCTCTCCTGGCTGGCTGTATCGGTTATAATTGACATGAATGATGGGTAATGTAAATATTTGCTGATGTTTGTATGTATTGTATTTTTTTGTTTGATTAAAAAACATTTGATTTTTTTTTAACATGACATGATGAGGATCAGAAAGCTGGAGTCAAATGAAAGTTCATATTTATTTTAATTATTTTGAATTCCCTGGAAATAAAATCCCTGGAAACTGTGCTATCATGGCAGTATTTTCCCATTTTTGTGACATATTGGTATGGCTACTCTGCGTCCATGACGCACTTTGATGACATTTTCTTTCACCAAAGGTTGCTCAAAGGTCATTTGATTTTCAGAGCTGCACACTAAGTTTTCCCAAGCACCCCGCACATTGAGGCCCGCCCTTAATTGCACACTGCAGTGAGCGGCTTCTCAGTTTTCCTGAAACAGGCTGCTTTGGTTCATCAGCATGTGTGTTATGTACTGTATGATCCACTACCCTGTGTCTAGCAGGATAGAAAAAAAATCGGATTTAGAATCACTTCACAGGCACTTTTAAAAAACACTCAGCAGGTGATTGGATAAACCACCTGTCTATCACCAGTTATCACAAGCAAACTTCAACCAATCAGATCAATGAACCATATAACATAGTCAAACTCTTACCAGAGTCAGTTGGGAAAAGAGCAACTTTCAGTGCTGTTCTTTGCTCTTCTTCAAAGAAGACATACTCTCCAATTCTGATATAACTGCTGCTACGCTGACCTCTATGTGCCCACCCTCTAGCTGCCAGTACTTCCTCAAGGGACGATGACTGATCTGGTTCTACTGTACCAGCCACAATCACATAGACTGAAGTGTGGCAAGATGAATTCTAGTGTGATCTATAACCAGTCCATAACTCGCAAGGTTAGGACTCATTAGCTTTTGCTATAGCTTTCAAATGCATCCAATAGGAATCACCAGCAGATAGTTCCATGGACATCCCTGTATTAATGAGGTGAAATGTTTATTTTATAGGATTTATTTTGTTTTATTTTATTTTTTCAGATTGCTGTGTAATATTTATGATGCATGTTGACGTTTGGAACTAAAATGACCTCTTAAATAATCAATTAATCTTACTTAAATCACATAACAAACAAAGCCTTTTCTCCACATTAAACCCACCAGTTCCTGTAACTCTAACTGTAAATAAACATACAAAACATACTTAATTAATGCTTTACTAATGACATGACTTTACATGACTCATGATGATTTCATGCATAAATTAAATCACAGGCTGCTCACCATTAACAAATTATCAAGTGACAGTGACTTTTTCATTAGCTCACTCATTAAAGTTAATTCAGTTACTTTATAGGCCTACATTAACTGACATGCCATCAAATTAGCTGGATCCCACTTTCATCCCACAGGCATTTGATCAGTCTCTTAAAACAGAACAAGACCTTTTCTCATAGGAATGTAAAGCATTTGTTTTTCAAAAACAGGTCGTTAGATTCAAACATCTACGCAGTGCTGCATCTCCCAATGATCTTAATGTCACATTTATAAAAAAAAATAATTTCCCCATTGGCGAGTATTAAAGTAGATCTTATGCTTTGATATAGAGGACCAGTTTGTAGGATTTAGTGGCATCTAGCGGTGACAAACTGAACACTGCTCGCATCTGTAGTTAATGACCTGGGAATGAGAATGGGCTGTGAAGTGTGTAGGAGGAACTACGGTGGCTGTGAAACTTGTGAAAAACATAAAAGACCCTATCCTCAGCCAGTGTTTGGTTTGTCCGTTCTGGGCTACTGTAGAAACATGGTGGTTCAACAAGGCTGCTTCCATGGAAGTGCGTCTGTAGATAAAAATGACTCTTTCTAAGGTAACAACATTTTTTTTATCTTTTATTCAGGTGATTATACACTAATGAAAACATAACTATGAATATTATATTCAATGCCAATAAATCCTCCTAAATGTTACACACTGGACCTTTTAAAAAAGGCAGAAAGACAAGAAAAGAACAAAAAATGTGCCATGAAAACAAGTCCTGCTCTGTTTTCAGGTGGTGGCATAAATGAATTAATGTATAAAGTATAACTGTGATTATAAAATGAATCCAGGGATGTAACTGGATTGTTGGCTTTCAAATCAGTAGGGGGTGACAGCAAAAGTAATGTTGGAACTTTTTTTTTTTTATGAGCTACTGTCCAACACTGCTTGTTCCACAGCATTGTTTATCTGACAGCTTAAGTAAGTTGAATACTTAAGTGAAACGATATATTAATTATAATTACATTTTGACACAGAAGGAGAGTGAGAGAGAGGGTTACAGAACACAGGTCTGAGAAAGGTTTACAAGCTTTTTTCCAGGTTAAGAATCACTCACAACTGAAGTCTATAAATATCCAGTGAATACCGGCGTTAAGTAACAGGTGACTAAATGTATGGAAATAAATGACACGCACAGGAAGGGGGGGGAGAGAGAGAGAGAGAGAGAGAGAGAGAGAGAGAGAGAGAGCACAGTGTTGTTGCCGGTGCCTCCGGTTGGCTGCGCTCTCCTCCTCCTCCTCCTCCTCCTCAGCACCGGACAGACACATGGAGCGCACCGTGAACGCATGAAGGATGAATGAACTTTAAATCTGCGGCTCCCAACTTTCACTGCCTCTCTCTCTCTCTCTCTCTCTCTCTCTCTCTCTCTCTATCCCCCCACCCCCCTTTTCTCTCCCTCCCTCCCTCCCTCCTCCGCTTCTCGCCGCTCCAGGAGCGAGTGAAGAAAAAAAATATCAGAAGAAGATCTTGACAATGGATTTACTGCGATCACCATCATCCTGCTGTGAATGATCACATCTTTCTTTCTTTCTTTCTTTGCGGAGGTTCGGAAGCATCGTGAGTCGAGATGATGGCATCAATAGGGGAATTCGATCCTCTCAACACCAGAGTCCCTGCAACTAAAATAGAAGTTACCGTGTCGTGCCGGTAAGGTCAAATAACTCTCATACAAACGCAGATATAATCCAGTTTTAATCCGGATTAAAAGTCTCCAATAGCACCTGGACAATCTGATTCAGATTTACAAGCAAGCAGCATCAAAGTGGCACAAGATAATTAGACGTGAATGTTGTCTGGTTAATACTTATTTTTGCTTCCACTGATGTGACACTGATGCCTTCTGCTGAGGTTATTCCCTAATGTGCCTCCACCACCTCAATTTTTAAGATTTCTTTTAGGTAACAGTCCAATCCATCTGTGTAAAATCCAAAGCATCATCTATCTATCTATCTATCTATCTATCTATCTATCTATCTATCTATCTATCTATCTATCTATCTATCTATGTATCTATCCTCTCTCATGCATGACCTTTTACTTTCTGATGCCCTTTGCTCTCAGGTAAATCAGCTGCCTCAAATGTGCAGCAAAGCATTTTAAATCCCTCAGACTGTGGATTTGTGCAATGGCCCAGCACATTAGCATTGATATTCCCAGGTGTGCATGGCTGATTATTGATGTTGATGCTGAGCTGCCTGTGTGACACTGTGAAACATCAAGTTATAGGTGGTCTACAGTTTCCTTACCGTTTTACACAAACCGTAGAACTGCTGTCAGTAAATACATATTATTATACAATATTAATATTGATTTCATAGACCTGATGCAAAACGGCTTTAATGTGTGCCTGAATTGACTGTTTGCTGGCAGGCTGCCTTAGCTGAATGGTTGGTTGCTCTGCTTACCGACTGGCTGGCTGACTGACTGACTGACGGTGCAGTAAAACTCAGTCAGGGTTTTGCGGACTGTCAGTCTGCCTACCTGCCTGGCGGTGTGCTGACTGTCTTTCCAGTCCACTCCTGAATAATGAATGGCTGGTGCTCCTGTATCGTCCCTCCGGAGATCAGCCAGACTTGAAGTGGCCAGACACCTGAGTGAGACAGCCTAGCCCTGGGAGGGGGAGTGAGCCCAGATGGGGAGATATAGATGATGGTGTTCTTTCTGTTTTCATTTCCCTCCAAAGATTCAAAACAGCTAAAGTTACATTTCAGACATCTTGAGTAAATGTATCGAGTTTAACCTTGGTTTTTTATTTAACACATTTATGGTATTTTTTCACCCTTTTTGCTTAAATGATTGGGTTTTTCTAAGACCTTTGGTTACATAACGACAAATACCACAGCCAGCAGCTGATTATCTTAGCTTAAAATAAACGCTGGAAGCAGGAAGAAACAGCTAGCCTGGGTCTGTCCCAAGGAAATAAAATATGCCTACCAGCATCTTTAGGGCTGTGTATTGGCAAGAATCTGGAGATATAAGAAATATCACAATGCAGGAGTTACTATTCAATATACTGCAATATACACCGATCAGCTATAACATTCTGACCACCTGGGCACCCTGGTGCTCATCATGTTCTGCAGCCCAATACCAACGGACTATGATGCACTGTGTGTTCTGACACCTTTCTATCAGAACCAGTATTAATTGTTTCAGCAGTTTGAGCTGCAGTAGCTCGGACCACACGGGCCAGCCTTCACTCCCCACGTACATCAGTGAGCCTTGGCCACCCATGACCCTGTCTCTGGTTCACTGCTTTTCCTTCCTTGGAGCACTTTTGATAGGTACTGACCACTGCAGACCGGGAACATCCCACAAGAGCTGCAAGTTTGGAGATGCTCTGACCCAGTCGTCTAGCCATTGTCAAAGTCGCTCAGATCCTCACACTGCCCATTTTTCCTTCTTCTCACACATCAACTTGATGACGTGAAAAGATGAAATGTTCACTTGCAGCCTAATATATCCCACCCACTGACAGGTGCCATGATAACCAGATAATCAGTGTTATTCACTTCACCTGTCAGTGCTCACAATGTTATGGCTGATTGGTGTACTTAAATACTGTAAGCAAGGTGATTTATTGCAATAAAAAATCGAAACTGTCATAGTATAAAGATTGTGATAATTTACCGATTCTTAAAAACTCAAAAACCCCCCAAAATCTGATTTAAAAAGTTAGTAGTAGTGTTTTTATACAACCAGAGCCTTGGGATAAGTATTTCTATATATCACAGTCCCTGTATGATCAAACACCTTATCCCGCAGTTTATGTTTACAACACTGCTATCTAGACATGGGACGATATGAGAATTTTATATTATGATTACCGTGGCCAAAATAATTGTGATACACAGTATTATCATGATAATCATAAACATATACCTTTAAAATAACACTAAAACCTACTGTAATAAACACATATATTTACTGAATCACAGATAGGTACCCCATCTCCCTGTTCTTTATTTTGGACTCAATACTCTTCCCACACATGCGGTTTAACTTTTTCTGTGGGAAATACAATGGGCAAGCTGAGCCTTCAGCCATGGTGACTTTTTGGGGGGGCTATGCATGAATGTTTGCTGAAATTATTAGGTTGTGTTTCATATCCTAGAATGGCTGAGTTTATATCTTTTAAAACATTACCAAAATATGTTGTTTGTCAAGGGGTGCCCAAACCTTGGCATACAGCTATAGACCTCAATATAAATGATCTCTGCTATTGAAACCAAATTTGGACCCATTTGGATAGGATCCATTCTTACCGGCCCTTTTGCTGTTTCCACAGGAGTCTACTGGATGTGGATACATTCTCCAAGTCAGATCCTGGTATGTATGAACTCTTTACTGTGTGGAATGTTGCTAATGCTGGAACACTGTTTGTTTTGTCTGCCAATTTTGAACTGAAAGTCAACTCTATATGTATGCATTTGCAGTTTACATAAAAAAGGAGATGCATTTGTTGCATTTTTATTTTTTTCTACAGGTTTGTTGAACATGAATATTCCTTATTACAGCAGCAAAAGCAGTATGATACAATGACTTTTACTCTCCTCTGGCTCTTTCTTTTAAATTCTGTTAAATAACACAGAAGGTCAGAGCTATCAATGGGTGACAACACTGCTGATAAAATACAAGGAGAAGGGAGACGAAAGAACAAGGACAAGACTGAGGAGGGACTGAAAAGTCAAGGTTGAAGAAAGGTCACGTTAGGAGGTTGGCTGAGCATCAGTGTGTTTGGCAGTAGAAAAATGACAGGAGAAGGAATTAAGCTAAGGAGTATGTCAGAGCTGAGGAAAACATTGCGTGGGTTAAAAAGCCTGCCTCTGAAACGGCATGTACCCATTGTAGCGCTGGAATGAATTCCACAACAACCTGTGGCCATTCACTCCTCGTATACACAACGTTGGTTGCACTTTATGGTATTTAGGCAAGTATAATTTCTAATAATAATAATAATAATAATTTATTATTATTTATACAGCACTTTTCATAACAAAGTTACAAACAACAATAGCGTTTCTCTTTCCCTCACACACAGTTACATGTGACGTCTCATCTATTTTCTGTGTGTTCTGGTCATATTTTCCTCTCCTCCCCTGTAGTGTAGATCTCTCTCAGGCCCACAGAATAGCTGACATACCTCATTTTAAAAGACTCTCTTTCCCCCTCCTAACATCAGTTGATTTGTACATTCAGATTCATGCAAATGGGAAACACATTTGAAATTAAATTTCCAGATACTTGTGCATGTATTTTATTTTGTTGGTTACACAAATAACACTAGCTGTTTATAAGTGCTGCCTCTGATCAAAACATCAGAGCAAAAAGTGTGGCAAACAGGGCAGCAGAAAAATGCTACAGAAGTGTTTCAGTTGGAAACGTTATGACAACCAGAATGGGTGAGCGTGCATTTGTCCCTCCAAAAAGACTACAAAAAGCCAAAGAGCCGTGTAAAGAAAATTGCAGGGAGTGCTTCTCTGCACCTGGCAATCCAACTGCTCTGTTACCAGTTTTAGGTGTTCATTCCTTTCACTCTCCTGACACTAAAGCTTTCTGCCTTTACCAATAAAACGAGTCCAGCAGCCCCTGAACAGAAAAGCACTGTGGTACCTTTGAGAGCCCATAGGGCACCACTTTCTCAGACAAAACGCTACCCCAAATCAGCCAGACAGTCGGGCTTTAAATGAGTTACACAAATCACAGCTGGAGAGCACAGCTGTCTACCACATCACCCAGGCTGTTTCTTGAGGCTCCAGTGATAATGTCTGTGACTGGCCACAGATGTGAGGGCAGCCTGAGGAGCTACTGGGCTCCAACCAGTACAGACAGGGAGAAGTGGTGCATGAGCCTTTCCTTCAGTCCAAGCAACATAAGCAGATTTGGTGAACAGTGCTCAGAGCTGCCTGTTGCTATGTGCACCACAGCCGGAAGATGTAATTAGTAGAGACACTATTACTAATTGTAAAGTAAGTAGCATGGACAGCACAGGCCAAGAGGAAAGGTACGCCTTTTTGTGTATACAGAGTACTGCAGTAATGAGTCCTTAAACCTGAAACTGGAGTGTTTCCAGTTCCCCCACCTCAAAGTCAATGGGTTTATTGAATAGGTTTTTGATTAGATGCCTGTAAGGTCTCAGGTTAACACAGAGTATAACATTTAAAAATCTATGACAAATATAAGACTAAACTTTCACTGAGTAAAACCAGATTTAATGACTACAATCTGATTTCAACTAATATACATTTTCATCAAAAACTACAGCAACAAAGATAAAAAAAAATAAAAAAATCAAGTGCCAGAATCACAAATAGCTGTGGTCTTTTTTACTCATAGCAACACTAATTATGAGAGTAGCTGTATTAATAGTTGTGTAGAAGCACCATGTGGCATTCTCCATGGCTGGCAAATAAATCCAACACGGAAGTGCCAAGAACTGCAGTTCTCCATATTAAAATGCCCAACTTTACAGCTGTACAGGGGGTACATTTGTATATAACTCACCCATTTAAATTATATTAAGGCTTAAAGTTATGCATAATTAAGGGTGGGTTCTGTCACAGGCTGCTGCTTTCAGTAACCAGGCTTTATTCAGACCGCAGCTCGATGCATGCTCCACGTCTTTGCCCATGTTTTGATTATCCAACAGCAGTTATTATAGTTTTATATTTTTTATTAGGTTTTATTTCTATTTAGTTTTTAATATTTGTTTTCAATTCAGTTTAGTTTCAGTTGGTTTCCAGATTGGGTTTGCTTATTTCAGTTTATCGTTTAAAAATGTTCATTTTACATTAGTTTTTATTCGTTTCAGTGTTACTTTTAGTTTTTTTTATTATATCATGGGGGGTATTTGTCAGGGGCAAGTTCAGAATAGGTATTACAATACAAACACATTGACTCACAGTGGTGTAGACATCCATTCAATAAACATATGCAGCAATGCCTCCTCATGCTTTTGACCAAAGACAGCATATATTTAGATTTATTTTACTGTAGTTAGTTGTTAGTTGTAAGTACAACATATTGTTTCAGTTAGTTTTAATATTTTCTAAGGTCTAGTTTTTATTTTTATGTCAGTTAATTAAAGTGTTTTTCACACCTAGTTTTAGCTTTTAGTTTAGTTTTAGCATAAATTATACTTGATTGTACTTTAGACCATGAACCCCTATCTTTTGACAATGACCATTTCACTATGACAAAACCAATACAATAAACAAAACTCTCTGTGAAGACGGAAGTTTTTGAATGTTGAATGTTACTATGATCTGTGTAGCGTTGTGTCGGCTTTCGTTCTTTGCTTCAAAAGGTAATTGATTACACAGTTTTTTTCCCCCATTTATTTACTTCATAAACCTAAATTTTGGTTTATCTAATTTCGTTTCATCCTACATGTTGCTTGCCCCTAAAACTAAAAAACAAATCAATAATATCAAAGATGGACAAATGCTGAGGCATTTAACAGGAGTTGATGAAAAGACAAAACGCAATTCATAAATCAGTGCCAAAGATGACAAATGTCATGACCAGACTGGACAAAAATTAGGCTTTTGGGGTTGGCTCCCAACATCAACCTACTATACTTTGTGCATGGTGTACTGTATGTACACTTCCAAGTTTCCTTGAGGTACAGAAAACACAGCAGATTATACATGGCAGCTTCATGGTGGGCCAGAGAGCAACCAGTACTCCTCTGCTGGAATAACCTGGCTATACTTGGCTCAATATTTTCTGTCAGTTCGTTTGTGATCATTTGATTCGACACAGTTTTATTCCAGAATACATAGTGTGAGCACAATCTACAAAACCAAAATAATAAAGGGCTTTAAACTGAATTCTGACTTCCTCAACAAGACAGGGCCAAGTTTAGCTAATAACCCACTTGGGCAGAACCCACCTGAATTCATAAAAGTGGTGCCAATATTGCAGTTTAATGATCAAAACTGCTGTATTCCTCACTCTCAGCCTTGAGCTCAGTGAAGAGCTCAGATTGAAGGGTGTCGTTTCTGGCAGTGTTGACATCAGTTTCATAGTAAAGGCAGATGTCACGCAATGAAGCATTGATCCTTTGCAGTTCCTCTTCAAGGATCTTGTTCTTGTCCTGCTCAGTCTGCAGCTCAGCTTCAAACTTCCCTTTCAGGTCCTCATTATTGTTTTGGAGGAGGGTCTTCTGCTCGATCTCCTGGTCAAGCTGATGCTGAAGGGTGTCAGCCTGATGTGTGACATTGGTCAACTCAGAATCATACCTGAGGATGATGCCATGGTGTGAGACACTGATTCTCTGCATTTCTTCCTCGAGAATCTTGTTCCTGTCCTGCTGCCCCTGCAGCTCAGCTGCAAACTTAATTTGCAAGTCCTCATACTGTTGCTGAAGGAGAGTCTTTTGGTTGATCTCCTGGGCAAGCTCTTGCTGAAGGGTTTCAACCTGCTGTTTGACAGCGGTGACTTCAGTTTCATACTGGAGACTGAGCTCACGGTAGGAAACAGTGGTCATCTCCAGTTCCTCTATGAGAAGGTTGTTTTGATCCTTCTCCACTTGAAGCTCAACTTTTTGATGAACTTCATTGTCCTGCCGAGCCCTGCCTCTTTGATCTCTCTGCATTTTCTTTGGCTAGTAGAAATAGTTGCAAAGAAATGCAGTTCTTCTCTGATGAACATATATCATCTGTATCAGTGGTCTGCCTGTTGAAGATTGTCTTTTCTTTCAATTTCTTTCACAGTGGTATCACCTGCTGAACAATATTAAATGATCTGACTGTTTAAGAAGATTGGTTCTCTTATATATAGACTTGCTTATGTCACCACACACAGAATGACATTCTATTTCTTTGATCTGTAAAGTTCATTTTTGTGTCTTTTTTTCCATGCATGTTTACATTTAACACATTGTGTGAAATGTAACACAAGGGCTGCCCCACTAACAACATTCAGAACAGGTTTTAATGCTGCTATTAGAGCTAGGGTAGGTAGCGTTGGGGAAAGTAGCATTTCATATTTAGAAATGTGAACAATCATTTGTGAAGAATAATTTGATATTTAGATTGATAGCTCTAAACTGTTTCTCAAGCTGTTTAAGAAGAAACAAAGAAATAAAATAAAACTACAAATTACTAATAATATCTGTACCATATTGAATTGCATACCATCATATTCTTTTACATCAGATTGTGTGTATTTGATTGTTGGCAATGCATTAAGATGCTTATTACACTGACCTCAGTGATGGACATCCCTGTTTAAAAAATACGTATTTATTGATAATAAAAGAATTTGAGTTTTTTTGAGTTTTCAATCACATCTCCCAGTCTTCAGGAGCATGGTCTCTTCCCAAG